AATTTGTCTTTCAGTTCCTTATTAGTCCTTCAAATATTCTTTTCTCACAGCCTCCAGAGTTTCATGGATATAGTAACTTCTTTGACAGTTTTTGGTTTTTTGAAATTTTTTTTTTGATCCCTACACTGTCCTACACCAACTCCATTCTTTTTTTTTTTTTTCTTCTTCTCTAATTTATCTTGAGTTCCTTTCTCCCTATTGCTCTGATTTCTGTTTTCCATGTAAGCATTTCAAGCACTGTCCATGTGGGCAGGACTTGTACACCTCACTGTGGGGTTATCTGGCTGGGCCGTCTCACTGAGATACCGCAAACTGCAGTATCCGTCTTTCCTCCTGACTGGGTCAACTGGCCCAACAAAAAATAAATTGCTTTAACCACGAGTGGGTGCATTCAACAATGCAAAGCTGCTGGGCTCTTTCTGAGGCTCTAAGATTAATCATTAAGAACACTCATCTCATTAGCTTTCTCCACCCCCCTTCATCTATCCAATCCAATCTGTCACCAAGCCTGTCAGTTTAACTCAGGAATGGCTCTCTCAAATTTATGCACCTCCATCCACGTCTACCGTCTTGACCCTGGCCAAACCACATTCCCTGCTTACTGGAAATACCACAGACGTCCTCCCTACCCACTCCCTAGGTTATGTGTCTTTTCCCCAATTAGCCACAGTCATCTTTCCAAGATGCAAATTTAATCCTGTTTCTTTCCTTCCTACCCCGCCCCCCCACAACTATTCCCACCACCTACTTTTAACAAGTCTAGTGGTTGTCATTACTCTTTGAACGGTCTTCCTAAGTCAAAGACCTACTTTTGCAGCCTCATCCTAGCCCTTGCCCCTCAAATTCTCCGTGCTCCCGCTCTTCTTCTTCAGTTGGTTCCCACCATAGTCTTGTACTCCGACTATCTCCTGTCCAGGGAAAGCTCTTTTCTCCTCTTCCCATAGTCTAATCTTACTAAGGCCTCAGAGTGCTCATCTGAGAGACACATCAGTTCTTCAAGGAAACGTTCCTAATTTCCAATACTAAGATAAATTCTTACAGTTTATATACCTGTGCTTTGTCAGCCCTCATCATAGTTGTAACTGTTATAATTCTATTAAGTGTGATTCTTTGATTAATGCCCGCCCCCCCCCCCCACACACACATTAGAATGTACACCTCTGGAAGAACAGGAGCACATCTATTTTTGCTCACCACTGTCTGCAGCACCTGGCGCGACGCTGGGCACATACTATATGCCCAGTAAATATCTGACCAAGGAGTATACACACGAATGATGACTGCTGCAACTCTTACTACCTCTGGTGTGTCACCTCAAGAATTATACTGCTTTTCAAAGGCATTTTCAAATGCTAAATTACAGATTACTTTGAAGATTGTGACCTTAAAACACACTTTTTTACTTAATCATAATCAGCATAAAGAAGCCAGCATGTGAAATACACATCCATACAATCCTATGAGTTTTACGGAAAAAGACACCAACATTTACATTAAGCTGTTGTTACAGGCCATAGAACATAAAGTGAATGACCCCCCCCAAAACAAACCCAAACTCAAAAATAAATAACAAACCCTAAATTACTTTTTGAGTAACAAAAACAAAGCCAAAATTACCTGTTCAAATATAGAAATATCTAAGAAAGAATGATCAAATCATAGATCTTATAAAAGACAGAATTTACAGTATTTTCTATATGGCAAGTACTATATAGAAATATTTGTTTCTATATAAATATTACTGTATTTAAAAATTTATTTTATTTTTTAAATTTTTTGTAACGTTTATTTTTGGGAGACAGAAATAGACCATGAGAGAGGGAGGGGCAGAGAGAGAGGGAGACATGGAATCCGAAGCAGGCGCCAGGCTCTGAGCCTGACAGCTGTCAGTGGGGCTTGAACCCATGAACCGTGAGATCATGACCTGAGCTGAAGTCGCTGCTTAACCAACTGAGCCACCCAGGCGCCCTAAAAAATGTTTTTAAACTGGATCTAATAAGTGTAATCAAGTATTAGTGGCCTCATTTCCTACTTCTGTAATCTTCCAGCTTTTATTTCAAAGGGAAAAATTCTTTACTTGCAACTCTTTTTAAAAAAAAACATGTTCAAGCAACCTAAGTTCAGTTGTTTTAAAATACACTGAAAAGTAGGGGCGCCTGGGTGGCTCAGTCAGTTAGGCGTCCTACTTCTGGCTTAGGCCATAATCTCCTGGTTCCGTGGGTTTGAGCCCCAGGTCAGGCTCTGTACTGACAGCTCAGAGCCTGGAGCCTGCTTTTATTCTGTATCTCCCTCTCTCTGCTCTTCCTCTGCTTGCGCTCTCTTTCTCTCAGAAATGAATAAATGTTAAAAAAATTTTTTCTTAAACACAGTGAAAAGGAATTACCCATACTTTTAAGAAGCTTCAGAATGAGTCATGAAAAAGTATTTTTAGAAGATATAAATATCACTGGAACAAGTGTGGAAAATTCATGCAAAAGCTTTATTCACTGAAGTAATGAATCTCCTGCACCATGTGCCAGACTATATATCAGATCCAAAGATACAAAGGTAGGTATCAAAAGAATTAGTATAAAATTCAAGACTTCTAAAGGAGAAGTGAGGTGCTTGATATAGGTGATTTTTAAGACCTATTATAGCTGAAGAACCTAAAATCTTGCTATAAAATTCTCTCCAATCACTTCATGCGGGTGTGCATTCTCCTATCAGGATCATGAGTAGCTTCCGGGGATGCAAATAAATGAAGACAGATTCAAACACCTTGTCTGACTCAGGAGGTGTACATGGAGCTTGTTTTGCCAGGCCTACAACTGATGTGGCAGGGCTTTCTGTTTCTCTCTATCCTCAAGTCTCTAACTCGACATTTTGTGGCACGTGGCTGAGGCCTACGAGTAAGATGACTGAGAAAGCCCCTGCCCACAACGGCTCACTGCTGACCACGGAAGACACAGAAACAGGCTTGGGAAGCAAGAACTGTGCACTGCCTGATACGAGCAATTGCACAATGGACCAAACGCTATGGGATGATAGAAAATACCAAGCAGATGGGTAAGAAGTGTATGTTTCATAGAAATGTAGGTATCATTCACTTTCAGGACTCTTCTCAACAGACCTAACATTTAGATGCTTAAATACAAAATGCCTGCATATTTATGTAGCTCGGTTGACATTATTCCTTCTATTTTACCTCCTGTAAAATCTCTTCTGTTGACAACAAAAATCACTTCTTGAATATCAAACATAAAATTTAAGATTTAAAATATTTTCATCTCATTATCTTTTATATCTGAAACTTTTACTGTTTCATAGGATTTATTACTTTTCCTATGCTAAAAAACAGAGCTGGAGATAAAAATAATAACTGGCTTGAAAGTACATTTTTGCAAGTAAATTGGAACTGATTTTCTATTCTGGAAATTCAGAACACTTTACACAAAAATTAGTCAAATGGTGAAATCCTTCCTCTGGAATTAAAAGTTGTTCAGTTTCTGTCATTTACACTGTGCTTGTAACTTCTTCTCTACTTTAGGAGGGAAATAAACAGAAAAAGCTCTCAGACTCAATGTAACCTGTCAGTACTCTTAGTACTGTAGTTCTATAAAAGCCTGTACTTTTAGTTGTATTTCATAGCTTTTTCTGTTTAAGAAAAGTTAAGTATGGATCTTGCTCTAAATCCATTATCTAGATTTTGGCAGCACATTAAAAGTAATACTGTAATAAGGGGCGCCTGGGCGGCTCAGTTGGTTGAGCGTCCAACTTCGGCTCAAGTCACGATCTTGCAGTTCATGAGTTCAAGCCCCGCACAGGGCTCTGTGCTGATAGCTCAGAGCCTGGAGCCTGCTTTGGATTCTGTGTCTCCCTCTCTCTCTGCACTACCCCTCCCCGCCTCGTTTGTGCTCTCTCTCTCTCTCAAAAGTAAATAAACATAAAAAAAACTTTAAAAAAAAAGTAATACAGTAATAAATGAGGAAATAGAATCCACAAAACTAAGTTTTTGGTACAATTTATACAATTCGTCTTCTTTCAGACACAAATAAAATTACACTAACAACTACAACCTAAAAAAGTATATGGGGGTAATCAGGAAAGTCCACTAGAAATAAGAAACCTCAAAATACACAATTATATATTTTCTCCCTTTCCAACATCAGCAACTGCATCTAGGCACCCCCATGTTTAAGGAATACAGAATAATGAAAATGGCAGTGATGATGGCAACCGCCAATATTTCCTGGGCACCTAACTTGCTCTAGGTGCTGCTAAATATCTTATATTTAAGCCTGATGACAATTCTAAGAGTTAGGTATTATCAGAAATCACTATTTTAAAGACATGGGAAAAAGAGGCTGAACGACGTTCAGAAGTGGCAAGGCTGGGATTCAAATGAAGTCTGTCTGACTCCAAAGCTCTTAACCACTCCACTGTGGACATAGAAATACTATAGTTAAAGGCTGAGATTTAGAAACAGGTTTAAGAATTTTAAAATAAACATATTCAAATACATTTAATCTATTTCAATATTGTAACCCCATATACATTAAAATTATAGGAAATATTACATCTTAAAAGAGAATTTCTATACCACTGAACTATTCATGTATTTAATAATGTTTTCCTAGATGTTGTAACTAAAATTATTTTATATTACGTAAATTAGATTCTTATCCTCTTTACAAAAGAGCAACCTAAAACTTTTAAATTCAGTTATTTTCACCATAACAGAGTGATTTCTGGAAAATCTCAAAAGCCAAAGCTCTCAAGTCACAAAAGGTAAAGAAATTATAATTAAATCATGACAGATTTTACTGAAATAATTGCAAAACTAGAGCAGTGTAACAATATTTTCTTCAGTATCATTTTTTTAGATTTTGGAATAATCCCCCTGTTAGTGGGAATACACTGAAGTTTGCACAAAGATCCAAACTAAATATGGACTTATATTACTTGTTTGCCTGATGTCATACTTAAAAAAAAAAAAAAAAAAAATCCTGCTATAAGCATACCTTGGCAAAAAATACGGTGAGGTGAGTTTCACTGCCAACAATCCAAATAGGGAATTTTGGAGATTTCAAGTAAGAACCAACCTAGAACAAATGTAGCAAAATAAACAAACAAATGAAAATCTGACAGTGCCTGTTGAATATTTGCCTATGAATATTTGAAGCAAATGGAAAAATGTGCTGTGCCAGAATGCCTTACCCATAAAGGTCAAATGCTGAGTGTAAAAAAATCAATGTTATAAATACTGTCAGGGCTAAGTTTATATTGCATCTTTACCATCAGGATAACAATAATACACTTTTAACACAGGTAAAAAAAAAATAGTTTAGCACTAAGAATCATTCTCAGGTTTTACTAAAGTTGCTAGACAGAATGACCACTTTAAGAATATCAGCTTGATTGTCAAACCCTACAACTATAAACTTGATAATTACTTTATCAGGGGAACAACTGTAAATTAACAAATATATTTATGAATAAATAAAGGGGAAGATCCTTAAGAACATCTTGTCTTCAAAGAACGTAGGGCAATATAATAATCCCTCTAAAGCAAAATATATACTCCAAAATATTTAAGAATATGAAAGACCCCTGTCACTCTTCATGGTTGGAAGTTCAAAGTTTTAAAATATGAAGTCTCCTTAAGATGTACAAAAAGTTACAGCCTACCTTCTAGATTATATATTTAATCTATAAAAATCATAGTATCTGAAATTTGAGAGTATCATTTCTGTGGGTGATGGAGAAAGTTTAAAATTCAACAAAAAACAGACTTGGGAAATCGCATCATGTTCACGTCGATCAATTCTATACCCCTATGAGGACAGAGACTACAACTTAAAAACAACCTTACCATTCAAATTTGCTGAATTTTCTTTTCTCACACAGACTCCCCAGAAAGGGGGACATTCTGAGCAGCTACTTGCAGCAGTCAGGGCAATTCTTCCCTCATCAGTCAACAGGGTGCCCTGCTTTCAACCACCACTACGGTCCTTTGGCATTTATACTCATCATGGGGAAGTAGGGGAGAGGGACTCTTTTGTATTCACGGATAGAAACACCGGTATGTCTGTCCTATGATGGGCAGGGTGGACTGGATGTGCTGATGGCAATGGTGAACCAGGAGAACAGGAAGGGTGATGATTTGGGGGTAAAAGAGAATAAGGGCAAAGGACAAAGACAAAGGAGAAGCTCTAATCACAGGTTCAGAGTAGACGGGATTTTAGAGGTGCTCAGTGCAAGTCCTTCAATTTTACATCAGGAAACAGGAAGTATCCAGGATCCATGCCTCGTCTGAATTCAAACAGTTAACAGAGCTGGAATTAAAACTCAGGATTTCTGACTCCTAATATGGTAGCTTTCCCTTACATCACGCTACCTCTTGGGGTGAAAAGTATAGACATTATTTAATTTCTATTTTAGAAACTGAGTATGTGTGTGTGTGTGTATTTAAATAAGGTAGAAGTAAAAAAGTGAGGATTATATACAGTAGAATCAAAAGGTAAACAAATGAACTCATTAAGTGTTTCATAATAATATAAATAAGTAAAGAGTGCATAAATAGTGCAGCCACTTTGGAAAAAGAGTCTGACAGTTCCTCAACAAGCATATAATTACTGTACGACAAGCAATTTCATTCCTGGGTACACATCCAAGAGAGACAAAAACACGTTCACAAAAAACTTATACGGAATGTTCTTAGCAGAGTTATTCATAGTAGCACAAAAGCAGGAACAACCCAAACGCCCACCAGCTGATGAACAGATAAACACAATTGATATATAAATACAATAGAATATTTGGTCATAAAAAGGAACAAAGTGCTAGTAGGTAAAACAAGAATCAACACTGAAAACATTGTGCCAAGTCAAAGAAGCCAGACACTAAAGGCCACCTATTGTAGGATTCCATTGAGATGAAATGTCCAGAACAGGCAAAACCACAGAGAAATAGAGCTGCCAGGGGCTGGGGAGGATTGGGGAAGCGACCGCTAGCGGGGTTAGAAGATCTTGTCAGAAGAAGAAAAACATTCTGAAATTCAGTAAATGGTGACGGGTGCACGACCTTCTGAACTGCACACTTTAAAATGGTGAGTTTTATGGTATTTGAGTTTATTTAAAAAAAAGGGGGGGGCACAGACCAAAGCAGAGTCACCCTCTGCACTGTGTGCATATGTACCGACACGGTTTCATCTGTGTTAATGAACACATATGATCAAAATGACATGAAAATGTTAATTTCTAAAGAGCAATTTGCTATGATGGTAAAGCACAGGGAAATGTTCAGATGCACAAAACTAATACAAACACAATGATTTCCTTAATGCCATTTCTCTAAATGTTTGGTAAAAAGTAAACGTATACAGGTTTTCAGAAGGCCATTTACAATTATGTACACCACAGTGTAATTTAGTTCTTCAAAAAACTTTGTCACACCATCCGGACCACTTCCCTTACAGGTCTCCCACACTCCAGGCCACTTCGTACGGCCCTAAGTGCCCTGGAGCCAGCTGTCAGACAAGCAGAGACAGCCCTCAGCCTCAGAGCTGACTGAAACTATCCAACCCCTAGGGAGCCTATGAAACCTAGCCAACTCCATCCCAACGCCCATACACAGGCTGCCCTCTGTAGTGGCACCTTGCTGTTGCCCTGTCCCCAGGTGTCATCCCGTCTGTGGCGCTGTCTGGGAGCCCTCTCTTGTTTGGAGGTGTAAGTAACAGAGAGTTCTGCCTTTCACCTGTCTGAGTACCATTGTGTTGTGTCCTGCAATTATAATAATCTTTAGGGGTGCCTGGTCGGCTCATATGGGTAGGTGTCTGACTCTTGATTTTAGCTCAGATCACGATCTCGGGGTTGTGGGACTGAGCCCCATGTTGGGCTCTGCACTGAGCACGGAGTCTGCTTAAGATTCATTCTCTCCCTCTCTCTCTACCCCCACCCGCTCGCATGCCATCTTCCCCTACCTCTTGCTCTCTCTTGAAAACAAACAAAAAGAAAACAAAAAAAGTTACTGCTAGAACACTAGAGCCATATGCATTAGGAGAACACATGGCCATTCCTGATTCCCCACTAAGATCATAGGAGGAAAATGAGCATTGCTCTGCCTGCTCTTCCTGACAGCTAAAGAAAAGCAAAGAGCATGATTGAGAAAAGCTCACAATTCTGAAATTGGTAATTCACTCATTCAACAAATGTTCACTGACCACCAAGTATGTACCCAGAAATACAACATCACTGGCTTCAAAGGGTCTATAGTCCACTGGTGATGAACAGAGAAAAGCAAATTCAAGATCAAAAAAATAAATAAGTTAACAGACAAGATTATAGAGAGATTATTCCTATGCTATTACGAAAAAGGGTCACTGAGGCAATGGCCGAAGAAAGGGTCTTGGAGGCAACATTTTAAGTAGGACCTGCAGGGGACAGGGAGCCATGCACTCAAGATCTGGAGAATTCCTGGCAGAAACGATGGCAAGCACGAAGTCCTATTAGGCAGGAAAGGGCTTGGGTGTGTTCAGAAACCGGCAGGAAACCAGGACGAGTGCACAGCAACAGAGAGGGCAGTGCGCCTCCAGAGGGCCAGACAGGATCTGGTTCAGGGCGTGGAGAGGGCAGTACGCCTCCACGGGGACAGACGGGATGTGGATCAGGGCGTTACAGGCCACATGGTGACAATTTCGCAGTATATCATCTCCACACCCTATCCTCCTGCAAAACCCACACACATGCTTTAAAAAAAAAAAGGCTTTACTGAAGTGTCTTTGACGTGTGAAAATGGTACACATTAAAAGTGTGCAACTTGATGTTTTTATATATGCATACGCTGTGAAAAGATCACCACCATCAAGCTAATTAACATATTCATCACCTCCATACAGTTACCATTTTTGTGTGTGTACCCATGTGCACACTTGCCAGCACACACACACTTTTTAGGATCTATGAATGTTTGTGTGTGTTTCCTGGGAGAACGGGATGCAGCTTGATGCTCTGGTTGCCAGGCTACTTCAGAATAGCTTTAGCTTGTAAGTTAAAGTCACCGAAAATAATAAAACAGCTGCTACTGTGTAACAATATGTCTACTAAGAGATCCGGGCAGGATGGAACCTAATTCATTATCATACCATACCACTCCTTTCCAAGTGTTGTCATGAAAGAGGAACACTTCTGCTTAAAAGAAAGTAAGAAGGCAAGAGGGCAAGACACCGTCATTTTCCTAAATCACTATCACCAGAGCTACTGCTATGGAACTACAATTCTAAAATGGAAAAGAAAATGAGATCCACTTCTCCCTTTCCAAAATCAGGACACCTCATTAAGTGCAAATCATTAATGATTTGAACCCCATTTAAAACTATCCAATAGTTATTTCAGAACATCCAATAGTTATTTTAGAGTATGCAGAAAAGCCATGACATATTGATCAATAAATGAGAAGTTCATGGCAGTTCCTAACCTTAGCCCATGTGCTAAAGAATTTAATGCTATGAAATGCTTGGAATTTTGTTTTTAAGTGTGAAATCATTTTTCAGATGGAATAGACAAAACTTGAAACTTCAGGCATCTAGCAAATTCTTTTTCTTTGCCTCCTAAGTATTGCCAGTTGTTTCAGCAAAGCATACCATTATGAGGAAGCAACAATACATCCTTTTCCCTTGGTTTACCAAAAAATAAATGTATACGCAATAATAGATTTATTTTTATACATTGTTTTTTTTTTTTACTGGGTTCCGCCCTCTGTCCTTGAAAACAGGAAACTCGGCATCATCAGCCAGCTTAACTCTATCCTTCATACGCCTGTCAGTTTAGGAAAGGAGATCAGGAAAGAAGTGGAGAGTATGTACTAGCAAGTTAAATGTCATCTAGGAGAAAATACCATCCACGACATTGGACATGTGAATAAAAAGCATTGAAAACACCTTCAGAATCAACTTACCTTACAGTATCTTAAAGCTTCCATTAATGTTAAGAATCCTACTGCTGCTTGTTCATGTATACCAAGAAGTTCTACAAAAAAGAAGTCAGCACTGCATTAGCATATATAAATCTGAAAAGTACCTATATGTAAATATAGATGTACCCTATATACATATTTTACATCAAAACTTTTATTCCCCAAACTATACTTTAAAACCTAGCACGTATTTACTGTTAAGAGTTCCATCAAATCATCGTATTACTATTATCAAATGCCATTAGATCATGTTTGTGTGGGTGATGTGATACTTCAGATGTACATTAAATGTCTTTATGAACTTTATTTTCAATGTTAATGTTTAAAATGAGGACATTTTTCTCTCTGAAAACCAAGGAGTTACGGACAAAAAGAAAAAAGAGATACTCAATAATATCCATTGTTTTGACTTAGAAAAACAAATGAATATGCTAATCTTAATCCATAAAATTTATCATTATCAGTAAACCTACTTGTAGAATACTTAAAACATGGGAATTTGATTCCATTCCTGACTCCTATAAATAAACACAGTGTGCTTAAGACTCCAGAAATAAAGACAAATAGAACAAGTTATCTGCCTTACAAAGGCTAAATTTATCAAGAGAGATAGAAGAAAAAACTTGTGTCTTCACTGTTTACACACACACATACACAATGCATCTTAAAAGTGATAAAAGAACATCTGTTTATTGAATTACGGAAGGTGTACAGAACTGACAACATGTGAGTTGAACCTCGAAGCATATGTAGGAATTTTTTCCAGGCCAAGAAGATGATACGAAGAAAATTCAAGGCAGAGGAAACAAGAAAGAATTATCAACAATAAAGAAAATCAATGTATTTAGGGGGTGAAGAATATGCCAAACCTTCCTTCAAGGTTTCTAGCCTGGGGAACCTGACAAATGGTGACTAACCGATAGAGTTAAGAAAAAGCAGGTTCTGAAAGTGGTATCAAGAGAGAACATGAGTTTGGTTTTAGACAAGCTGGAAGGGAGGAAACCTCAGGACTTCTAGCTACAGACGGATACACAACTAAGGCTCAGGAACACAAGGAAGAGGGGTCAGGGGATGATACAGAGCTTTGGGCATCATCAGCATAGAGATGAGAGGTGATGTCATGGATGTGGTTAAGAAAGAACTGACAAAGCCCAGAAAATGAAGACAAGTGATTATTTCACAACAAAGATGTAACTGTGGTGATGATCTTATCTTTTACAGACTATAGCTTTCAGTTAAGGTACATTAAGTGGAACTATAATAGTATTTGGATCCATAAATGTTTCTACAAAGCATTTTTTCTGGTTCAAAATTATGTCCACTGTAAATACTACACACACACACACACACACACACACACACACACACACACACACACGCACACACACACACACATAGCTTTGCTTCCTTTTCACCATCTGGTCATGTTTTATCCACTTTTCTGTTAAGATATAGTGTTTTTCTTATTAATTAATGTAATAATATCAATTCTTAGTCATACCATGTATCCTTAAGTACAACATTCAGACAGTGTAAGCCAAGAACTGGTTGTTGAAACTTTTGGATTTGGAAATTCAAAATTAAGAGAATATACATATAATTATATTTTTTCACTAGTTTCTTACAGGTACCAGGAGGGTATAGCAATAGTTCCCAAATTGTCATTTATGATTCCTAGGGATCCACAAGACCCTTTAGAGACTATATGATTTTCATAATAGGACATTAATTGCCTGTTTTTTGTTTTTTGTTTTTTTGCTCTTAAACTTTCATGAGTATAAAGTGAAGTTTTCCAGAGGCCAAATGACATGTCATATCTCAACAGACTAGATCTATAAACAGATATGAGAATGTCTACTAATAACCTCACCATTGAAGGAACTTGCAAACTTTAAAACAATGTCACTCTTCTTACTGATTTTCTTCTTATTTTGGAAAACATTTATATTGAGAAGTAAAGGATGTATTATTGTCATTTTAAAATGAATTAATACATCTTTTAAATTTCTAAGTCTTAATTTCTAAGAAAAATATTGATCATTATTTGGTTATAACCCATACAAGAAAAAGCTCTTTGGGATCTTCAATCATTTTTAAAAGTAGAAAGAGCATGAAAACAAAAAACACCTGAATCACTGAGTTATAGCATTCAAAGGAAAAAAAGGGAGTGGGGGTGAGTGACCCAAATAAGCAGAAATGGTACTCTATGGTCTTACAAATTTTCCCTTCCTCTTCCTTCTTAGATTTATTTTCAAGTTCAAAGAAGAATATGTATGTTGAGAAACATTTTCACACTTTAATTTCTAAAAATCAGATATCACCACCTAGTGTTATGATTAGATATTGCATCATCGATTTCCTTATAATTTTAAACAAATGTCTCAAAGAATATATTTGTAACTTAATGCTACTAGCTATGGCGAACCAGCTGTTCGTAATTGTTGGGGAATGAATTATTCAGATTAGGTCAGTAATCACAAGTTTAGGCATGCAGTTTGGATGATAATATTTAAAAACTACTCCTATTTCCTTAGACTAAATATTTAAATTTTTTATCTGTAGTAGCTAATGTGCATCCTTAAGAATATTTATTAGTGTACAAAGTTGTAAATATAGTGAGGATATACTCACCTCACATATTACAACTTACAGAGTTTACTTATATAAGACTTGTCTCAGTAAGTCTCAAAGAAGTCAATTTACATTTGCAGAAAATCCTAATAATTGTGTCATTATATTTGAGAATTTTCTAACTTTGTTTTCTTAGCTTTGTATTTCAGATTAATCATGATCAGAGTCCTTATCAACCCCATCTGCTTCAGTCAGTGAGACCCCCCCCCCCCCCCCCCCCACACACACACTTTTATATTCCTTGGTTTGCCATTCTACCCTTTTCTCTTCCACTTCAAGTGTCACTTCTCACCACCATCAGCCCATCTACAAAAGTCCTGTTTGGGCCTTTTAAATTTGATGCTGACTTGGAAACCAGATGACTGCACTGCACTTGTTTAAGAAACATACCCTGAGTGCCAAGTAGTGAAAAGAAACAACGCTGCATAGTGCAGGAATACAAAGCTACCAGCAGGAATACAGAGATGAAGACAAGACCTTCTTTGCAAACCATGTAAAGGTAAGGGATTAATAACCAAAATATATAGGGAACTCCTACAACTCAGTTGGAAAAATCCAAATCACCCAATTAAAAATTGGGCAGAGAACATGAATAGACATTTCTCCAAAGAATACATAAAAATGGCCAACATGAAAAGATGCTCAACATCACTAATCATCAGAGAGATGCAAATCAAAACTACAAAGAGTTACCTCACACCTGTCAGCATGGCCATTATCAAAAACAAGCAAATCAAAAGCTGTTGGTGAGGATATATAGAAATTGGAACCCTTGTACACTTCTGGTGGCAATGTAAAATGGTATAGCAGCTATGGAAAAGAGTGTGGAAGTTCCTCAAAAAATTAAAAGTACAACTACCATGTGATAGAGCAATTCTACTTCTGGGTGTTCAATCCAAAAGAAATGAAAATCTTTTGAGATAATCTTTCGAAAATCTCAAAGAGATATCTGTGCTCCCTCACTCACTGCAGCACTATTCACAACAACCAACATGTTCAAACAACTTCAAAGTCCAGCAACTAATGAATGGAGCAACATACTGTGGTACATACATGGAATGGAGTATGACTCAGGCTTAAAAAAGAAGGAAATCCTATCATATGTGGCAACAGGAACGACCCTTGAGGACACTATGCTTGGTGAAATACACAAGTCACAGAAGGAGAAATGCTGCATGATTCCACTTAGATGGCTATCTAAAATCATCAGATTCAAGCATAAGAGACTGTTAAAAACTGAGAACTGAGGGTTGATGGGAGGTGGGAGGGAGGGGAGGGTGGGTGATAGGTATTGAGGAGGGCACCTTTTGGGATGAGCACTGGGTGTTGTATGGAGACCAATTTGACAATAAACTTCATATATTGAAAAAAAATAAAATCATCAGATTCATAGAGGCAGGGTGGAATGACGGTTGCTAGGAGCTGGGAGGAGGAGGGAATGGGGAGTTGCTACCCACCAGATAAAGTTGCAGCCATGTAAGATGAGAAGGTTCTAGATATCTGCTGTGCAACTTCACACTTACAGTTAAAACGGTATCTTAAGTTAAAAATTCATTATGAAGGTAGATCTCATGCTGAATGTTCTTACTACAATTAAAAAAAATCCTCTCCCCCTCCCTCAAAACAGTAGGTGACAGAGTAGAATGCGTTAAGTGCCATGAAAACGAAATGCTCAGAGGCCAGGACAGATCACTCTGGACTGTGAGACTCAGGGAGCTCCCCCTGGAGGGACAACAGCACTTGAGGTAGGCAGTGAAGGACTAGACAGGCACATGTGGAAGGGACATAAGTCTTTGGCAAAAGGCATAGTATGAACAGAGAAATAAAAAACAAGTAGCATTAATTTTGTTCAAGCACAGGTTCATGACAGTTGAAAAATAAGCTTGGATCAAGTTATGCAGAGTGCTTAAGTAAAGAAAAAAGTTTGCAGTGAGAAAAATTAAAAATTATTTATTTCCAAGGATGTTAGAACAGCTAAACTAAAAGGTGATAAAATACTGAGAAAGACTTGGCTATCTACTGAGACATAAATTGCACACATATACACAATTTGAGCTATGAACTTTGTGAAATCTATTTTTGAAAGTGAAGAGCTTTTCAAACCCAGTTACTGTTTGTTTTATTCCTAAGAAGTCAGGTTGCTACAAGGTTCACACGTAGCTAGGGTTGCCAAATTTAGCAAAAAAACCCCAAAAAACCCAAAAAAACAAGAAACAAGATGCTCAGTTAAAATTTAAATTTCATATAAAAAAACACAATTTCTTTGGTAAAACTATATTCCAAATATTGAATGTCACATACTTACACTAAAAACGGTTTACTCTTTGTCTGAAATTCCAGTTTAACTGGGAGTCCTGTATTTTACCTGGCAACTTAGCTCCAACAAATTACATGTATTTTTACAAGTAAAAAAATTTAGAGA